AAAAAAAAAAAAAAAATGCAAGACAAGCTTCAGTGTGAGTGAGCTGATCCAAAACATCGAGATTCTGCTTCTTATGCCACCCTGGCATAAATATTCTTAATTCAGTTCAATTCAGTTTATACAGGGTATAGCTCCAATTCATCTCAGGGCACTGAACAGAAACATTCATATACATGAGAAGTATGTTACCACTATTTATCTGAGGAGCAGACTGCTTTGAGTTTAACTTACTAAAAGCAGACTTTCATCTTGAGCCAGCATGAAGGCAACAGTGGAAAGGAAAATCTCCCTCATGAGGAAGAAACCTCCAGCAGAACTTGGCTCAGGACAAGCAACCATCTGCTTCGACCAGATGGGTTTGAGAGAAACAGGAAGGTGGAACAGATACACAATGGCAGGATACATGGTTCAACAGAGATAGGATTTTTCATTAGACCAGCTATGGTACTGAAAAGGAACCTGGGGTTACCGGTATTTTATTCTCATCAATTAAAGATGGATAATATAAAGTTCTAGCTTTACGGAGTGCTTTTTTATAAGCTAGCACTTATAAACTTAAAACTTGAATTTGAATTCTCTAACTTTGCGGTCACTGTTTTGTTCTTCTATGTTAATAATTTGTTGTATCTTTTATTGCTTCATCAGTTACCATTCATTACTGCTTATTTTCTCTTTTTATCATTTTTGTTTTGTTTTGTTACCTAACTTAATATTTTTATCCTTCACGCACAGAACCTGAAGCTGTTAAGAATCTCACAGTCACTGATTTCTCAACAACCTCTGTGTTTCTAAACTGGAGTGAACCAAATGGGGAACGATCTTTTTATCTAATAAAGTGGAGAAATGAAACAGCAGAATTGAGTAAAGGTGTCAGTGACACACATATAAATGTCACGGAGCTGACTCCTGGCGAGAGATACTGTTTTCATGTCACTGCTGTGGCAGGAGAGGATAAAACAGAAAGTGACGAGGAAATCAAATGTCAGCATACAAGTAAGATTTTGGCAGATTTAAGAGCTTATTTCTTTCTTTGTTTTTGTTGTTTTTATAGATTTGTTGACATTTGCTCAAAGATCAATCCTAGATCATCTGAAACTGTAGCAAGCTGCAGTCATTTTTAAAATAGAAATGTCTTTTTTTAATTACATACAGTATGTACGTACATATATTTTATTGGTCCTCTGAGCCAGATGTTTATACGTTAAAAAAAAAAGTATAATTATATAGGAGGAAGTTTCCCTGTCTCTCAATATACAAGTCAGTTCAAAGTCAAGACTAGTTTATAATGAACAGTGACTACAAAAATGAACAGGAACAATGTCTTTGAAGTTTATTTTAGGCTTTTTTTTCTTCTGTATGTTGGCATACAATTGATTCTTCTCATGCACTGCTTTTTGTCAACCACAGAGCCTGACAAAGTCAGCAATCTCACAGTTACTGATTTCACAACAACCTCCATGTCTCTAAACTGGCCTGAACTAAATGGGGAAATATCTTTTTATTCAATAAAGTAAAGTAACAAGGCAGAAATCATTAAAAAATGTCAATGAGACACGTGTAAATGTCACTGAGTTGACTCCTGGAGAGAGAGATACTGTTTTCAGTAGTGGGCACGGTTCTGCTAATCCACTAAGTGCTAACAACGGAACTAATTTTTTGTTTAGCGGATTAGCGTTTTCACTAACTTTTATGATCATTAGTGGAATTAGCTTCTGCTTAATTAAGTTTTGTTGACTTTAAGTCTGCTAACAAAATTCATAAGCTTGTTCCTGTCTGTTGTGGGCATGTCTTAAAGAGTCTGAGGTATGCTATGAGCTGTACTATATGTACACATGACAAGACGTGATTGGCCGGCGCAGAGGCAGCAAGCTGAAGGCTTGTTGCGTTTCTTTTTAGATTTTTAAAAATGTTTTCTGCAGGCAACTGTATTTACTTATCATTTCAATTGATCAGCAGAAAATCCATCCTAGATCATCTCAAATTGTGGCAAATTGCAGTCATTTTTTGAAAGAAATTTGAAGAGCACAGAACCTGTTAAACTCCAAGGGCTCATCCATTGTCTGTAAACTGAAAAGCAGAGGTTGTCTTGACCTAATCTCTGTCTGATAAGCATTATAAAAAGGAACTCCTTCATACTGTCCATGGGCAGACCTCGCGTCAGGAGCTTCAATGTAACATCTGTGTGTTAAATCTGCCCTCACTTGCAAGGAGTAAACTGGGTTGAAATTTTTTCTCGTATCCTCAGAGTAGCTTATTTGAGTAATGAGTTGATGAAAGGATAATTAAATTATCCAACATTATTAAATAAATATGCATAGAACTTTGTTTTATCAGTCCTCTCTATGGCTAAATGTAGTTTTTTTGTTTTAAGTTATAACTTTTTTTTGTTAGTTAAACATCCAAATGGAAAAAGTATTTTTAATTTATTTAAATATTTTGGGCAAAACATTAACTTTGCTGCTTCCAACTTGACCTAAACTTAAAAAAGATTTTAGCTGGTTATAAAAGATTTTTCCATGTTATCATGATCTGTGGTTTGTGTTGAGCCCAATGTGGAACCTGAGTGAAGTTGCCCCCCCCCCCTCCACCCCCACCCCCACCCCCCATCCCTAGACACACCTTCTTCAAATCTATCAAAACTGGTGTCAAATGTTTAGCAGGTGATGGTCACACTGAAGGCCAGAATAAAACAATTTTCAGATACACAAGTGAGCAAATATTTTAAATATAGACCAGTCAAGTTCTACTAATCTGCTAAAAATGGTTGTTTGGACAATTTGTTTTTATGAACAGAAAAAAGTAGTATTTCAAAGCATGGTGGTAGTCCCTCGATACTTCGCTGTTCGACATTGTTGGGCTGTTTTGCGGGTTTTCAATGTAAGATTGTACATGACACATGACTGGCTGATTGATGGAGTGAGCCGCTCATGCGGCTCATTCAGGTATTATACAGACCCCCGCCTCTTCTTTCTTTATCCGAGGCTGTCTGCCACAGCAGAGCAAAGACTCTGCTCTGCTGTGGCAGACAGCCTCGGAAAAAGAAAGAAGGGGTATTGTTTATTTTAAATAATCAAGCGTGACCCAAACCGTGCCTTTAGTCCCCCTCGGCGATCACTGAGCAGGCCAGGGCACCGGCCCGGTAAAGAACCTTGACATTGACCTTTGATAGAGCCTGATGTTGTGAGGTATGTGATTGTAACTG